GGAGAACATGAAAAAGGAAGTTTATTTCCACAGGAAGAATGTTGTTGGATGAGGCAGGCTGCCTGCAGTGAACTTCTTTAAGAAATGGGAGAAAATGAACCAACGGCAGACATAAAACTGGCCTTGAGACAACACTCTTTCTTGCTCAACATTATTTTGCCAAGAAATTCTCATAGATCCCTAGAGATGAGTGCAGGGCACTTTCCAGGAAACAGGACAGCAGAGGTCACTTCCTAAGCCATATCCAGTAACCTGTTCATGCTCTTTTCAGTATTTTAGCCAATTCCAATAAGATGAATCCCTCACAGTCCATCTCCAATACTCAATGAAGACAGGAAAAGCTTGAAATCAGGGTCTTTAAGAAAGCTGTTGTGCCTTTGTACCCTATCCTGGAATGTTCTGAGCACCCAGAATAATGCTCCAAGTGCTCACCATGGTTCAGAATAGCCCTGGCTGTCCTGGAACTCACCATGTAGACCAGGCTGGCCTTGAACTCAGAGAGACACCTGCCTGTGCTTTCCTAGTGCTGGGATTAAAGATGTGCAGCACCACGTCTGGCTTGCTGTATTAGTCTTTTATTTTTTTAATTAAGAATTTTTTTAATTCATTTTATATACCAATCAAACATCACCCTCTTCCCAAAAATATGCAACGAATTTGTGTGCCATCCTTGTGCAGGGGCCATACTAATCTTCTCTGTATCGTTCCAATTTTAGTCTATGCCGAAGTGAGCACAGTAATATTCTCTTTTTTTTGTATTTTTTTGTAATATTCTTTTTTTTGTTTGTTTTTGTTTTTGTTTTTCGAGACAGGGTTTCTCTGTAGTTTTGCGCCTTCCCTGGAACTCACTTGGTAGCCCAGGCTGGCCTCGAACTCACAGAGATCCGCCTGGCTCTGCCGCCCAAGTGCTGGGATTAAAGGCGTGCGCCACCACCGCCCGGCTCTTTTTTGTAATATTCTTAATAGCCTTAATAGTTCAGGATCTAGGAAAATGCCATGTGCTTTTTTACTGACCATCTCCATTGTAGCAGTACTTGTGAAACGTGAGAGTAGTCCCCTGCCTAAAGACACCCCACTGTTATCCAGGTGACATTCCCAATGATCAAGAACTGACTCTTAAAAAAAAAAAAAAAAAAACCACCACAAAGTACCCATACAAGAACTTTGGAATAAGTGTCTCAGAATGAAGAGACTTTCTAAAGATGGTGGTTCTCAACCTGTGGATCATGACCCCTTTGGGGTCAGATGGCCCTTTCACAGGGGTTGCATATCAGACATCCTGTATATCAGACAGTTACATTACAATTCCTAACAGCAGCAAAATTACAGCTATGAAGTAACAACGAACACAGTTTTATGGTAGGGTCACCACAGCACAAAGAACTGTATTAAAAGGCGGCAGCATTAAGAAGGTTGAGAACTACTGTTTTAAAGAAGAACTTTAGAGGAAAGGTCTGATCTCCTTTGGAATGAAATAGCAGCACTCTGGGAGTACACAGACACTATTTCTACACCTTCTAAGAGCTAACAGAAAGGCCATGGCACCCAGCACTGGAGGGGCAGAGCCAGACACAGCTAACAGAAACCCCTCCGAGTCTATCCAAAGCACTACACACACACCCTGTGATGCTGCCGCTTCCCTGGATTTATCCTGCAGTTGTATTTATCCATGTGCAAAACGACACATTAACAAAGCTACTCAGCACAGTACTGTGTTGTCACAGAACCGAGAGCCTTAGAGGACTGCTTAGATAAAAAAATCATGGTACATCTACTTTAGAAGCACCCCTCCCCCAAACAGGGAAGGTATAGATGCCTAGAGAAAACTGTTATCTCAAACAAAGACAAGCACATGGGTGAACATGGAGTACTTTACTATGTAAAAGAGATACCTCTATTGTTTCAACAATAAATTCTTGAATGATGTATAAATTACCAAAGACGAGCACCTATTGGTGAGGAGGTGGGGAGTACGGTGGGTGGATGGAACAGTGAGGGGATACATGATTTTAAACTTTATTATTTTGAATTACGTCAAGTATTTATTCAAAATTTAAACCAACTTCTTTGAAAACTTTAACACTCAAGTCTGTTTGTATAGTTTTACCCTTGGCTCACATCTTTCATGATTTGGGGCCTCAGAGGCACAGCCCTTTCTCACGTCCAGAGGGACAGTTAAGAAAAGCATCGCGGACAGCAGGGCTAGAAGGCTGATGTCACATCAGGTTCATACCTAGCTCCTGCAGCGGTGTGCGGTTCTGTGGTGTGTGGTGCTGCAGCGGTGTGCGGTGCTGTGTGTGGTGCTGTGCGTTGCAGCTGTGTGTGGTGCTGTGCGTTGCAGCTGCAGCTATGTGGGGTGCTGTGTGTGGTGCGGCAGCAATGTGTGGTGCTGTGTGCTGCAGCTGTGTGCGGTGCTGTGCATTGCAGCTGTGTGCGGTGCTGTGCGGTGCAGTTGTGTGTGGTGCTGTGCATTGCAGCTGTGTGCGGTGCTGTGCATTGCAGCTGTGTGTGGTGCTGTGCGGTGCAGCTGTGTGTGGTGCTGTGCGGTGCAGCTGTGTGTGGTGCTGTGCGGTGCTGTGCATTGCAGCTGTGTGCGGTGCTGTGCATTGCAGCTGTGTGTGGTGCTGTGCGCTGCAGCTGTGTGGGGTGCTGCTCTCTCAGCATCTCTGGAGGCCTTTCTTCCCTCCTAATTCCAGGCTGCAGTTTGGATGGGTACAGGCCATGGGAGGAGATGATGGAAAAAGAGACAAAGGTAGGAGACAGGGAGGCTGGTGGAAGTGCCTGTCCTGATGCATTCCAGCCTCCAACACAAGGGGTGGCAGCCTACGCACCAGAAAACTATGCAGTGTGGAGCTGGGTGGGCAGCTAGGGCAGTGGGCACACTGGAGTGACGAGGAACATGTGGGTCGCTGGCCTTACACATAGAGAACACACAGGGGAGGGGGGTGACTGTAGGCTTTGGAGGAATGATCACAGAGGCAGAGCAACTCCTCAGGGAAGATAAGGAAGCCCTGGGCCCTCTGAGGACAGAGTTTCTATGAGGCCCTGCTCTTCCTTGTGGAGTACTAAACCCAGCATAGAGCAGGAGATTAAGGTCTAGCTGCCTAGAGTAGAGCCCTGACCCAACTCATCCACTTCAACAGGTCTGCCTGGCAAGTTACTCACCTTCTCAGAACCTCAATGTCCCTTCTTCTCAGGTGTTAACTAAGCACTCCACACATGCTGCCTAATTTACTCTTCATAGCCATCCTAAGAGGAAGAGTTCTCAATAGACCCATTTTCTAGATGAGGAAATGGAGTCTCAAAGGGATCCCTGGTTACTGAGCCAGGAAATGGTGGAGCTAAAGTTACAATTCACACGTCTCTGATTCAAGGTCTGTTTGTAGCCACAATGCAGGAAATTCATTTTATACTGCACAACTCACACTTAGGTAGAGTTCATAAATACTTGCCATTCCTCAAAATGATTTCTAGCATGGACTTAGGTAGAACTGAGTTCTATTTTTCTCAGTCTTAAGCAAAGTTATCAGATTCCTTGTAACAAAGGGCAGACATGAGGTATCCCCTGTGTGAAGAAGCACAGTGTGCCTGTAGCAAGTCTACTCCCATACAGAGGGCCAAGCACGTAAGTGGACAGAGCATCGTGTCTGAGACCGCAGAAGCTGGACAGGCATTTACCTTTGTGTTAAAGACACGCTGGTTCTTTAAAGTACTATAGTAAGACAATTGTTCACGTGATGTCCATGGAAGAAGCGCCATCATGGACTGGTATAACAATTGTTCACATGATGTCCACGGAAGAAGTGCCGTCATGGACTGGTATAACAATTGTTCACGTGATGTCCATGGAAGAAATATTACCACAGACTGGGTATAACAATTGTTCACGTGATGTCCATGGACCTCTCTCTTAAGATCTTTGAATTGAAAGCTACATAGAGAGATTTCTGGTCCCATTTTTTTAAAGGCTGCTGGAGGTTTGAAAGTGTAATAGAAATTGAAACTTCAAAAGATTAAAAACCCATAGTGAGGAATAATGGCCTCCCCAGTGTCAGTGTGCCTTGCACAGGGCCAGAGCTATACAGGTAGAGAGGCCAGCAAGGGCCTTTCTCATTAACCTATCAAAATTCCTCCTCTGTTATCACAGCTCTGTTGGATTACCCTGGGAATAAAGCTGAAACTTCATCTCAGTAATCTGATCTATGACAACCAATGGAGACAAGTCATTCCATGTAAAAGGCTAGATGTAAATTTTATAAATTGACTCACTGAAAGTACAAAGGTACTACTTACAACATAAGTTGATTAACTACCCTACTTAATAATTTAGTATTAAAAGATTATCAATATTAAACAGTTTAGGTAAGATAAGCAATACAAATATTATCAAGAAGTTCAAGTACAGTAATCGAGACTACATTTACAACTTGCAATTGTTTCTTATAAAACTCGTCAGGTTAGTACTTTTTGAAGTATTACGATTTCATGCACATTTGCTTTTTATGGAAAAGCATGTTATATCTACATTTGTCCATTTTCTCTTTCCTAGTTTTAACCCTTTATTTATAAAGTAAGACATTTTTCATTTATAAGGATTATGCTTTTTTGGAAAAAAAAAAAAAAAGAAGCTCTAAACATGCATTATGCTCTTTTGAAACAACCAAAGCTCTAAACATGCAACATCTGAATTGGTTTTTTGTAAAAAAATGGATGCAACATACATACAGTCACGCACACATAGCGGGCCCATAGTACCACCAATAGGAACAGAGAATACGGGCCAGCCCACAGAAAAAGCAGAGCAAGCAGGCGCTGGAGCTGCTGTAAGGACAGCAGCCACCCGGAGGCTCAGCTGGTCCTTACAGATCATACTGGTGGGGTGGAACAGGTGGACATCAGCATTTTCTGTCTAGAAGACTTTCATCCCCACAGCAACAAAACAAAAGTCCCGCACGCCAGTCCCGGCCACTGAGAGCCCCCATAAGCAGGTCCGCCCTCACCTGCTCCCCTTCTCTCCTCTCTCCCCAGAAGAAGGCACTTCACAGGAGCGTCTGGGCAAGCCTTTGGACTTTATTTTGTTACACCCTCTAAACGGACAAGAAACAAAAGAGAACATGTGTAGAAGACAGCATTGCAATTGGCCACCCGGAGTTCCACACAAATGCCCTCCCTCCACACTCGCACAGACACCCCTCTATCAAGGCCTCATTAGACATTTTCAAAAGGGGGCACTCATGCAGAAATGGCTACTTAGGTAAGTCTCTGATGCTGAAGGAAGAAACACAGGTAGTGTTGTTCTCCAAAGTGATGACATGTATCAGGAGGTGGCATTATTCTAATGTTCACAGAGGTCAGGGAGTCACAATCAAGACCTCATTCAGATGCCTGCCTGTCACTTCTGCTGGCACACTGTCCCAGCAACAGACAGCTTAGAAGAATGCCCGCAACTTGCTGGGTCTCACTGCCCAGTGTGGCCGGCCTTCCACCACCAATGCCTCCGCTTTAGACCGAGTTTCACCTTTTCCCCATGCATCCTTGCCACTTCTGGATAACCTACCTGTACACAGAAGGCACCTCAGCAGACAGGCCCAGTATTGGCAAGAGTCTCTTAAACATTTAAACACCTCAGCCTCCGACACTAGGCTGTCTATGTTAAGGACGCACTTCCTGACCAATGCAAACACCTGCAGGTGGCTGATTATATCAGATTGGCCCAAGCCGCCTGGGCTATAGGATTTCACACTGGAATGATTCTAAGTTCCGTTCACAGAACAACAACAACAACAACAACAACAACAACAACAAAAACCCTAATACATAACTTTGTCTTCTGTGGGAGCCCTGCTGACTGCCATCCAGAAAAGTAAAGCCAGGGCCACCGCTCCACTTCTCAGACTCCTTAGCAGCTGCCCCCTTCTAGGAACAAACACCACTAGCTTTTCAGTGTTCATGATTTCCTCCTCCTTTCATACAAGCTTCAAGTTACTTCGGTCATTACTAGACTGACTATTAGATAAAAGTGCTTGTCATGGGAGCCGACCGTTAGAGAAAGTAGAACTTGGGAACAAGGCTGAAAGGGGGAGGGGCTGCGCAGTTCAGAACTTCCTGTCTCCCTCTGTTGAAACTATTCTGTCACTACAGTGACTTCCTCCAAACATCAGGACTCTGTTGTGTGCCTGTGAACACTAATCTGAAGACACCATGAGTATGTTGGAATGTTTTTATAAATTTTCATAAAAACTTGAAATTTGCAGCTTCCTAAAATATTTAGACTTTTTCTCAACCCTTAGCCCTGCTCTGAATTCTGCCAGATTTACTCGTGGGGGAATTCTGGAGCAGAGCCGGCTAGCTCCACGGTTTTCTCACGCACAATCACAGGCTCTTGAGACTTCCACCCATAAACTGACAACACTTTAGTGAGAAGCAAATGCCAGTAACTAATACCTCCAGCAGCAAGGGGTAACCTGAGCAAGCACCCTGAGCAAGCACCAGGGGTAACCCTGGGGCAGAAGGCCGTGAATTCTGAGGAACTGGAAGAAAATGGCTTACCCAGCCTAGAGCAAACACCAAAGGAGACGCTTTCCCGAAAGTGAGCTCCGTTTAAAACTGTATCAGCCAGCACAGCCTGTGCTGTCTTTGATGCATCGAGGAACGTGTTTAAATGGCAACCTTAGTGGTGCTTCCCTCCTGCTCCTGTCTAATGACTGTTAGCCTGTTCCAAGAGCTTCAACTGGCATCTCAGGGCCAACTTGACAGCAGGGGGCCGGTTACTATAACAACTGACAGCTCTCATGAATTCTGAAAGGCCCCTGAGTAGCCATTTGGGAAACAGTTATTGAGCAAAAAGTTGCCTGGGATCGGAGGCATTAGTTGCCACGTGACCCGGCTTTCCCTGAACAGTTGGGAGGAAAAAGGAAAAAAAAATGGTGCCCACCTCCTGGAACACCTGGGGACCTCAAAACATCCCCACCCCCACTCCTTTCAGATTCTCAGGGCAAGGCAGTTTAACGCCACTGAGTTATCATAATCCCAAACCTCCAAGGCAAGTCTTCTTTTGGCACCATGAAATGTGTCTTAGTCTCCCCACAGGTTTGACACATTTTTAGGCTTTGGAGAGATGAATGGTAAAAATTATTCCTAGTGGTTAACAATCTTGAAATACAGCCAGAAAGAGAAGTTCTAGGTAGAGAGAAGTTCTAGGTAGCAATTAATTTTAGAAGAAAACAAACAACAAAAATGCACACAACACCTATGAATGGTCTGTTCATAGGAAGGGTTAATAAAGGTGACTGCACGCGTCATCAGAATGACTGAAGCCCGGGCTGTTCTACCCTGTCACCGGACCCTGAGCAGCGGGGCCGAAGGCAGTGTTTTGTACATGCAGAACCCTCCAGAACGGGCCTGTGAGAGGCCAAGAAAGTGCCTTTGCTTGACACGAGGGAAGCGTCACGAGCGACACTCCTATGGCATACTGAGTGCACTAGGACCTGGTCTGTGTCTGGCACTGACCCTCCACTTTTCCCAGCAAACTCACAGCTGAGGCAGCCTCTCCAGGAAGTCCTTCCACTGAACCCTAGTCATGTCGATTTCCAAAGGACCCACTGCCCCCCTTTATCGTGCCTGGTGCCCTGGGGAGCACAAATGCATCCAGGAATCAGGCAGGAAGAGAAAGGACGGCAGACCCTGGCCACCTGGCAAACAGTGGCCAAGACAAGGGAGGCACGGGGTTTGCTCTGTCCAGCTTGCTGTCACCACACAGGAAGGTGACAACAGTGTAGCTGGGTTTTCTAGTTCACCATGCAAATGAGACAGCCAGCTGGGGACTAAGTTAGATGTTATTTTCAAAGAGCACAAACATTTTTTAAAAAAACGGGCCAGTTGATACAGGTTAGTGTTTGAGGTAATCTTTATTGACTTATTTACCGCCTGGAGGATTCTCCAATGCCCTGTACAAAGTGGATGTGGAAGAGGTGGTAAATGAGTGATCACTGGAAGGAGCACACAGGCCAACCACAAAGGCCTTAGAAGGTTCCGCAATACAATCCTAGCTACGAGAAACTAACATGAGGTGTGCGATCCTGGTCAGTCTTCCTTTCTGGAAACTGTTTCCTCTCTTGGATCAAGGATGTCTCCTTCCTGATGCCCTGGCCACTGTACAGAATCTCTAAAATCAGAACTGTCATGCATGCAGGGAATGGCCGAGCACAATTGCTGTCCCAGGTTCTCAGGGGTCTGCAGTAGGTGACTTGTTCATCTGAGGCCAAGCAACTTATGTGAGCCTATTGAAAAATCTTTAAAGAGTGTTAGGGCTCAGTGGTAAGAACACTTAACTGGTATGCACGAGGCCCAGGGTTCAATCCCTAGCACCGCACAGGGAAACAGATGGAGCACGTGCTTTCTTTCATTCAACAATATTGGTGGCTTCTACTAGCAGCTTCACATTTGACATCCCTTCAGCCACCTACCTAGAAAAAACAAATTCTTAGTAGATGTCTCCCTTATGGCTCTGCTTGGGTGGAAAGCAGGCAGACACCTAATGTGAAGCCACCTCCAGCAGTTGAGGAAGTGCTGGCTGCCAGAGCAGCAGGTGCAGAGCATGCTCTCATGTGCCTCTCACAGATGATCTGTCATTGTCACTACTGTGTAACTGGAGGAAAAACCCACTTTCCAGAGAAGCACACGGGATCAGTCACGCTGCGAGCACACGTGCCATGTTCTCACATGCCCACACTCTGTGTCCATGTGTTCCTGCCTGCCTGCGCCTCCATTGTGCCAACACAAATCCCCTACACATCTGCACTTTGTATCCTTTCATACCCTCGATACTCCGTCTCCTAGTGAACATCCAGGGAAGAAAAACACTGCAATGTCAACAAAACTCACTTGTGTTCATGAACAGCATTTTTAAAGAGGATGTCAAATATGTAGGAAGGTCTGAAAATGGAACTCAGGAAAAAAGAGACCTTTTTCTACCTGCAGATATGACTCACTGATATGAGCGGACTTGTCACAAAGTTTACAAATGACTTGGTCAGATGATCAAGAGGGACATGAATTTACTAGATCAGAGCAGTCTTGGCCATATCCAACTTTAGTATCCTAGGATCAGAGGCTACAGTTTCCGCTTACAAAGCTTACAGCCTATAGTACAGAATCCATGAAGTTAGGCGAGGCCTATCTGAAGGAAGGCTGCTGCTGTGTACTTCTGCAAAGTCCATTTCCAAGCTAGAATTATGGTCAGTAAGATACTACAGGCATTAGCACTAATTAGCTGGGACTACGACAAAGCAGGTGATATTATTTAACATCAAATTCTCAAACTAATAGAGACGTAGCTGAATGTAAACATCATTTTTGAGTTTCCAGAACACCCGAAAATAGAATTATTTCTCAAACTTTTTATTCACATCATTTCAGCAAATTCAGAACCCAAGTTAATTCCCAGCTAGCCCTCTGGCCAGGTGGTCATTACTGTGAAAATATCACGCAGTAGTAGCTAATGGTTCCTTCACCTGCACTGTCTGTTTGGCCTGCAGACATGAAAGCTGGCTACATAAGGAATAACTGTTCCCATCACGCATGTTATTCCCCGATCTGGGGCAACATAATGTAATAGCTCTGATGGTGGGCCATGGGGTTCTGGATAGACGGACCAGTGGGCAAGAACACTTGCTGGGCCTGGTTCCTATCCCAGCACCCATGTATAAGGCTATATCCTCGGCTCGAGACTCCACAGTGCGATTTAGAGCGGAGTAGGAGGACCACTGGGGCTTGCCTGCCATAAGTCCAGCTGTAGGTTGAGAGAGCGACCATGTCTCAAAAGGAAAAGCAGGACACCAAGTGTCCTCCCCTAGTCTCTGCATGCATGCACCCCCCCCACATGAAGTACATATAACGGTGGGCTATGAAGTCAGGTTGGCTGGGTTCAAATCCAGGATCCACCCACTAAAGATCTGTACCATGACGTGGGCCGAGTACATGCCTGAGATGATAAAACAAAATAAAGCAAAACAGTCAATAGAAAGTTCTGGGCTATCCAGGCCTTTAGGGGCACAAACACCACTTACAAACAAAACCTGCCTTCACG